ACATGTACACAACAAGAAAGTACAGCAGAGCCTTAGAGGTAGCTTAACATGCTGAAGATCCAAGATCATATGGTAACAGTTTCACGGATGGATTTTTTTAATTTAACTTTATTTATTTGTTTATTTATTTAAATTTGACCAGAGAGGGACAGAGTGAAGAGAGAGAGAATGAGAAAGCAAGCCACCAGGTCTGGGACTTGAACCTTGGTTGGCAGTTCTTCAGAGATGGATTATAAAATTCCTGGTTCCTCTACTCCCAGATGTTAAGTCATTTGGTTTATTTATTGGCGAGTTTTTTGCTATAGGGCGAGTGTACTCGCCAGAGAGACAGAGACAGACGGATAGACAGAAAGCAAGAAATCACCCCCCCCGGGGGTGGGGGTGGCCACACTGCAATCCCTTCTCCTCCATTCTCCTCTCGGGATCTTGGGCACACACGCACATGCGCCAGGCATGAGTTTAAGCCAGTGGGTCTAGGACTCGAACTGAGTCGACTACATGGGAGTTCAGCGACATGGTTTTAATGAATGGTATAAAGTTAATATGAACTTGCTGGCAAGAATACTGCTATGTGTTGGCCAATCAAAATATCATAAAGAAAAACTAAAATGGCAAAATAAAAGGGGAGAATACTCTTATTGAAAGGCTATTTACTATCATACCTGAGATTCAAGCAAAAGCAATAAAAAATGACAATTATAAAGAATGAGCAAAATAGTGAAGGTTTGCAGATGATATCTCTCAGGCTAACAATCCAAAGGCCCAACAAACCATTAGATACAATAAATTATAATAGTTCAGGCAAGGATGCTACAGACCATAACACCCCCCCCCTCAAAAAAAAACCCTGTCATGACAGCAAGAAGGAAGGGGGGCGGAAATCAACAAACATTCCTTGCGGGAAGCAATTATAATATAAAGCGGACTTGAATTAATGTTGTTTTACATATTACATAAAGTTACCACAATATGAGGGGCTGGCAGGTGTCGTGGTGATTAATGCACTGGACTCCCCCATGTCCAGTCCCAAACCAGGTGGTGGCTTATTCTCTCACTTTCCTTCTACCTCTCTGTCTCTCTGTCTGCCTCTCTCTGGTAAATGCATGTGTAAATAAATAAATAAATAAAATAATAAAATGTTTAGAAGTTACCACAATAATGAATAGTATAAATTTAAAATGCCAATTATTCCAAATTTAACCAATAAATTAAATGCAATCTCATTATTTTCAATATGGTTTCTGTTTAATTGTTGACACCAGAAATTCTAAAATTCATATGGGAAAGTAGTGACCTAATAGACAAGATAAACTTTAAAATAATAAACAAGGAAGGAACTTTCATAAGGAAATAAAAATACTATAAAAATATGGTAATTAAAACAGTAATATTGGATTGGGGTCACAGACACTGATAAAAGCAACAGAGAATCTGAAAAATATCTCAGATGTGGGATTAGATACAAGTTATGGACAAGACAACAAAACTAAATAATTGAGACAACTGTCTTAACATATAAAAGAAAACAATGGAATTATGTTCTTATACAATGCAGAAATTAACGCAGATGTATCAAAGACCTAAACCTGAAATATAAAACTTCAAAGCTATTAGAAGATATAGGAGAATAATCTTTTATAGTCTCAAAACAGGGAAAAATGATACTAGAGAAGATTCTAGGCAGAGACAGTAGAATGACAACTAGCGAAGAACCTCATCTGTAATATAGAAACTAGTATCATCAATCACACTTGCAACAATGAGATTTAAGTATGTCAAGTTCTTAGAATAGTGCCTGACATATAACCTCTAGATAAATGCTAAGTTATTCTCAAGTCTCACTTTTCTCGTTGGAAAAGTAGAAAAAACAAACTTATCCCATTTAAGTTCTCATAAGGATGAAAGGAGTTAATATATTCCAAGTGCTCAGAACACAAACTAATGCACTGTAAGAGGTGGAGAGAGAGAGAAAGGTGGAGGCCTATAAGAATAATGTATTACATTTACAAATAATGGTAAGAGTGATTATATCACACAGGGAATAAGAATCATGTCAAAATAAGCACATTTAAAATTATGCTTTTGAATGGCAGTTTTGGTGGCAATGGGGAGAATAGACTGTTAAGTGTAGAGAAGTCCAAAGACGTAGCACTACAAGCCTACTGTAATTGTTCGCGTCTAAACAATGGCATAATGAATGCCAACAGGACTTGAGAACGTATCTGACATTGAAATATAGTGAACTAAGTGTCAGCAACACAATTCCTATGAACCCATATGGCTGTATATCAACATAGTGAGCTAACTGAGATGAAGTTCACAGTACTCAGAATGTTTTTCATCTCTGCTATTAAATTATTCCTACCACTCAGTTGAGATCAAGAGCTACATGTTATAAATCAGTATGTAACTAAAGCTTCATGCTGTTTTAAGTTATGTTGTGAGAAATAAATGCCTTATTAAAAGCATTTAATTCAGCACCTTTAATTCAGGACCTTTACCCACCAGCAGGTGGTGTGGTAGTTAAAGGTGCTGAATCCCACATGCCAACTGCAGTTTTGAGTCCCTGACCTGGTGGCTTCCTTTCTCACTTTCTGTCTCTGTCTCTCTCTGATAAAACTGGAAAATAATAATAATAAATAAAAAAGTTAAAATAATTATTTTTTAAAAAAATAATTTAATTGCCCTCTCAACTAATTCTCTGAAGTAAAACAGAATATAAGCCAGAAATTTCAATAAAATCAATATGGATTTTAAAAATAGTCTTTTTCTGTGTTTCTTAAATTCTCAAACAATGGAAAACTTTCTCAGTTCATACTGTCCTCTATTTACAAATGTTTCTTGCCATTATTGGCTTGCCCTGAAATGTTTTAACTTCTTCTCTTATGTATTTAAATGCCTGTTAACAAAGCAGAAAGAAACCTCATTAGTTTTCAAAACATTTCATTCAAGTTATCTTTATTCTATCAGAGAGTTTGGCATTAGCAAAAGTGTCTAAACTAAACAAAAAGTTCTGAAGGTTAAGTCCATTGTGCAGGCAATTAAGAGAATGAAAAAGCAGAAATTTAGAACCTTCTTAGCTACAGTTCACATTTACGGAATAAGTTACTACGGATTATTGCAGACAAAGTTCAGTAACGCAAGATGCAGAAGAAACAAGACTCAAAATACCACTACATACTGGGGCCGGCAGGTGGCGTGGTGGTTAAGGGGGCTGAACTCCCACATGGCCAATCACAGTTCGAGTCCCAGACCTGGAGGCTTGCTTGCGCTCGCTCTCTCTCTCTCTCTCTTTCTCTCTCTCTCTCTGTTTCTCTCTGGTTAAATTAAAATAAATAAATACATAAAGTAAAAAAAAAAGATTTCAAGCTTAAAAAAATAAAATCTTGGGGCCAGCAGGGGGCATGGTAGTAAAAGTGCTGGACTCCCACATGGCCAACCATAGTTTGAGTCTCGAATCTGGTGGCTTGCTCTCTCACTTTCTCTTTCTCCCCCATTCTCTCCTCAAATGAAAAAATAACAACAACAAATAAAAATGTTTAAAAAATCTTAAAAAAAAAATCACTTATAGGAGCTGGCAGGGGCTGGAGCCGAGCGTGCTTCAAGTGCTAGTCCCAGTGGCTTACTTTCTCACTTTCTCTCTCTCTCTCTCTCGCTCTCATTCTGTCCCTCTCTGGTCAAATTAAAATAAATACATAAATGAATGAATAAAGTTAAAAAAAATAATTATTTAAAAAATCTCTACGTAACTATTAAAAATATTCTATCAGACAAACTTCTAATGTGAAGAATTTTTTTAAAGATTTTACTTTATTTACTATTACTATTATTTTTAGCTTGAACAGAGAGAGACATAGAGAGAAAGGAAAAGTGAGAAAGCAAGCTGCCAGGTCTGGGACTTGAACTAGTTGGCCATGTGGGAGTCTACCACCTTAACCACCATGCCACTTGCCAGCCCCAAGATGAAGAATTTTAAAGAAGAATAAAAACTGAGTTCAG